AAGACACGAGTAGACGATATCTCGCTACTAAAACGTACCAAATACGCGTTTAAAAAAAAATAAAAAATAAAAAAAATGACTCAACGTGAAGTTAAAAAATAAAGTTCTTCGAGCTAAAATAAAACCAACTGCGAAAGTGACAATGGGATGGTGACACGGTTTTAAAAAACTCTTTTATGCAAAGAAAACGACAGACGCCTTTATAGGTGGCATGCTAATTTATGCCTTGCGTTCTCTCCCTTTACCGAACAAGTATGAATTTCTGATCAAATATTTCCAAAGGTTATTTTTTTATGTTGGTGAAAGAAAGTTGGATAAGTCGCTGCGTAAACTAATTAATACCCTTTACATGTACGCGTCGCTAATGTTGTGAGCGGTGATTTAGTAAATGCTTGAAGGGTAGCTCAAAGCGAATCGTCTCCCCTGATAATGCCGTCACAAGGAAGAAACGAGTAGACGATATCTCGCTACTAAATCGTAACAAATACACATTTGAAATTTTGTTTGTCTTCACGGAACACAAGAGTAGGAGGGTAGGTCATTGGCCTTTCTCCTCCTCCTTTTGTTTACAACACGGATAAAAAGAAAAAAAAATATCGCGCCACCCTGATTGAGACATAAAATACAAAAGCGACTTCCTTTATTTCGACTGTTTCACGGTTCGCTCCGCGGAAAAGATACCTCGCTTATTATCCAACCATCCATGTGCGTTGGGGTATAGCTATTGTCCTAGGCTCAGCTACCCATACAATGGGTATTGCGCTCACGGTATACAATGGAATTTGGGCGCGCTCCATTGTGACACTTAAAAATGCTAGAGTGAATGACGCGGGTATGTTTTGCAAGCTTGTAAAGATTACACCAGCGGTACATTAGTAAATATGTTTAGGGTTTTCTCCCTTGAATTAATTTCAACAAAGTTCTAAAAGCTCGCCTTGTGTTAGATTAGCCCAGTGGTTCCCAACCTTTTTCGAGTGGCGACCCCTTTTTATAAAAAGTAAGTGACCCGTGACCCCCATAGAATTAAAAAGCCGAAATTAGTATGAAAATTAATAAGCACTAAAATAAGATTGTCTAGTAGACTTTCAATATGAACTACTCTTGATAACTGTTTTAAAAGCATGAGTAAAATTGCATTCTATTCACTAAACCTTCTTCGCTAAGTGTTTAATTAAAAACATTTTTTGTTAACGCCAACCTATGTCATTATAATTATCTTAATTTTGTTTTTAATCGAAGAATAGTGTTGAAAATATATTATCGAAAAGTCAATCAATTTTACATTGGTATGAATGGTGAATATTACACCAAAATTGTGTCTGCAGTTTTTCATCTTACTCGGAATCATTCTGCAAATAAAAGAATTCATCTTGTAATTCATCGGGAATGCTGGCAACATCAAGGGAAGAAGAGAATGGATAATGCGTCAATGCAGATTCTTCTTTTTTCAGCTCAGAGAAATAGCGATGCAGTTCGTTTTCAAGAGATTCATGATGCCCAGAAATCGCTTCTTTCAAAATGTTAATTACCTCACAATCAGATTCATCTACCACACCGCAGAGTTTCTCAAATTTACAATATTTCCAAGATTTGTTTTCTTTACCGATTTTGCAGCTTTGATAAAAATGCCCCGGTATTATCATGGAAAGTTATAATATTCGTTCATTTTCCCTGAAGCTTCAGGTTAAGCTTATCTTGATGTTCGAACATATCTGCTAGGTAAGATACTCTCTCCAACCACTCTATGTCGTTTTAAGTATACCAAAAAGTCTTGTTTCCTTTGCACTTCCAAGAACAATTTGATTTCAGATTTCAATTCAAAAACACGATTCACAACAATTCGTTTGACAGCCAGCGTACTGTAGTGTAGAAGAGCAGAACCTCGTGATCTATATTAATGTTTTTGCTCAGTTCTTTGAAGGCTCCGGATTTTATATAATTTACGACTTATACTAGCAATGGAATCTTGATGTCGATTGGTTAGGGCAGTGGTTAGGGAGCTAAATCTTTTCTGTTTTTTGAAAGCCCAATTTGAGCTAAACATAGATGGCGCACCATCCGTACAAACCGCCACAGTCATTCTAACCCTTTTTAATCATCCAGTTTCAAAAAAGGTATTTATTTTCTCCATGCTATCTTCACAAAAGAGCAACTCTTCTTTGCTATCATCCGCATGAATATAGACACAGAGCAGCAACTGCGAACACGAACTCACGTCTGTTGATTTATCAACTTGAAAAGCAAACAATGGTGAAACCTTAATTTCAATAAAAATGTGTTATTTAACACTTACGTACATGCAGCATTTGATGAGATTTTCTCCTATTGATTTTTTTTTTTGCTTGGCATTTACTATCGCGACTTCATTTGATGTTTGCACTAGTGCTGGTGAAAACTTCCTGTTCGATCAAGTTTCTGGAGTTTGCAACTAGCTTCTTACCGACGAAAGAACTCCATACATTTTTTTGGCGTGTTCCGAATGACTCGTCTCAAATGACGTTTTAGTTTTGAAGATTTCATAGATTCGTGACTGAGAACAACTTTGTACAGTGCGCTTTGTTTCTTCTCTATTACATTTCCAAAGATGTTAATGAAGCTGAATTTCAAAAATTCTTCCAAATATTTATGTTTAGTTTCAAATTACTAAGGTTTAGTATACCAGTTGGCGACCCCCCAGAAAGACCTTCCAGGTTGGGAACCCTTGAATTAGCCTATTTGATGTCAATAGATGACGGATAAAAATAACTCGCCCGTATCAGTCCTCAGTTAAACCACTGGGATCCTAAATTTATGTGAAGCTATTTGTGAATGTAAACAAGACTGTTCTAATTATAGAACATCAGAGTCTACCTTCGTTGCTCTATTAGGGAAGACGCGAGCAGCACACGCGTCACGCCTTTTTAAATGTAAACAATAAACGCACGGGGGTACACCGTTCCATTGTCGCTATGATAATGTATGTCGCTGAGTTCTCGTACTTGAGAATGTTTAAAGGGTGACGATTAAAAACTATAAAAAGAATGAAAGATGCATCGTTGTGGTCGTGGATTAGCTTAGGGGTGAACCACCCCACTCCCTCCCCACTCTCACAGAAGTCCCATTCTATAGACAGAGAAGAGTAGAATTCGGGTCCAAATCAATAGAATTTCTCTGAGTACTGATGGGTTCCTAACTCACGTTAGGGACAGTAAAGCCGGGTGGGTATAGTGATGAACACACTATCTCTTCATATGCCGAGGTCACAGAAACAAAATTTTATTTATCTTCTATATTAATATTTTTTTAGAAAATTATAAAAATATAAACAAAATGTATTTAAACATATATTTTAAGTGGAAGTCTATATGGTAGAATTATAGAACCTTAAAATTAAAAAGTAGTGGAATAAAAAATAAAAATAAAAATAAAAAAAAATAAAAAAATAAATAAATAAAAAAATAAATAAATAAAAAAATAAAAAAATAAAAAAATAAAAAAATAAAAAAATAAAAAAATAAAAAAATAAATAAATAAAAAAATAAAAAAATAAAAAAATAAAAAAATAAATAAATAAATAAATAAATAAATAAAAAAATAAAAAAATAAAAAAATAAATAAATAAATAAATAAAAAAGACAAGCTCACACAGACGTCAGACAAAGGGCGGATGGGATTGCAACACACAAAGGGAAGGGGTATCACCTGCTACCACCTTCCCCACCCGCCCCCGGGTTTCACCCGCATCCTATTTTACGATATACTGTTAAAGCCGGACTGTTGTCCAGGTCAATAAAAACAACCAACAAATGGGCAACTGGTCAACAACCGATAAACTGATCATCTGGTCAACTACTGGTCAGTTGGTCAACTGGTAAACAAATGTATAACATTATTATTTAACCATTAATAAAACAATAGCTCAAGTGGTCAATTGGTCAACAACTGGATAACAAATGGAAAAAACAATACCCTCCTCCTCCTCCATGATAACCGTTAATAAAACAATGTAAAACAACATTTGAGCAACAACTGGTCAGTTGGTCAACTGGTCAATATATCGATCAATTGATCAAAACAATAACCTCCTCCTCCTCTATGATAACCGCTAATAAAACAATGTAAAACAACATCTGATCAACAAGTGGTCAAGTGGTCAACATACCGATCAAAACAATAACCTACTAGTCAAAATAATCAACAGTTGGTTAATGAACAATCAACAACGGGCTAAAAATTCAATAGTTGGTCAAAAAACAGGGGCATAAATCAACAGGTGGTCGAAAATCAATCAATAACAGGGTTAAATAATCAACAGGTGGTTAAAAATCCATCAATAACGGTCAAAATAATCAAGAGGTGGGCAAAAAATCAATCAATAACGGTCAAAATAATCAACAAATGTCCCTCCTCCGCCTCCCCCTCCTCCTCCTCCTCCCCCTCGCCTCCTCCTCCTCTTACGCGCCAAACACGACCTACTATACTACTTATATATATATATATAAGTATATATATATATATATATATATATATAAGTATATATATATATATATATATATATATATATATATATATATATATATATATATATATATATATATGGGAGACGGACGTTTTCCCGAAAGACACTTGCCCGAATGCCGTTTGCCCGAAGGCCGATTTCCGTATGGACACTTGCCCGAATGCGACAATTGCCCGAATGCCACTTGCCCGAAGGAATTTGCCCGAATATATATATATATATATATATATATATATATATATATATATATATATATATATATATATATATATATATATATATATATATATATATATATATATATATACATATATATGTGTGTGTAACCTAAATAATTGCTTATAAATATGATTATATGTGAATATATAATACCATATATGTTGTAGGTGGCGATAAATTGTAATCTTCCTGTTGTCCTAAACACTATGTGCATGTTATTTCCTGTTGACACTGTGAGTGGCTGCCATGTTGTACACATTGTGTCATACGACGTATGAAACTTCGATGATCCGTTAAAAATCTGCAGGTAGTCTGATGAGCAGTCCTTGACTGTACTTGTGTTCATGTATTTTAAACTTAAACGTGAAGAAAAAGATTTAAAAGCTGTAAAACATTTTAAATAATTCAATTAAAAGAATTTTAAGATGTTTTACATTTAAAACCCGATTTCTATTTTTTTAGCAGAGTATTGCGTCATAAACATATTACACGACATAATTTACATCGAGCTTACAGGTCGAAGACTTAATATAAACTATCAGAGCCCTAGCTAGGGAAAGGCTAACGAGGCGGCCGATCCGTTCGTCGCTCTATATGCGCAAATCTGGAATTCAAAAGACTATTGTGAGCCGAAATAATCATTTACACAGTCGAAGTTAAGAAACTAGACTGAAACTTGGCTTTACATACTGATTGAACGTTTTTGTTTATTAATCGTGTGACACCAACGTAAAACTTCTAAACTGCATTCATTTATCAGAAACAGTACTTAAATTGTAGGATTTTGAACAAACAAAAGTAAAATAAATTTTACACCCGGTTACAGGAAACCGCGAAAAAGTTAATACAGATCAACAAATTTGATATAATACTTCTATAAGAAATTTCATCAACTTACTGTATAGCTACTCAATTTAACGTTTTCACAGACATACACACACACACACGCATTTACGGACAAAAATGCAAAACTATTTATTTTGTGAAAATATCGATGTTTATTTTTTGCACGATTAAAATATTTCTACTATACTTCGAATACGAGAAAGTAAAAACGTACAGGTGAATTTTGGCAACTTATTTGTAAATTATCCGTTGTCGGGGCGATACTTCCCCGTTAACTATTTTTTTATTGATTGTGAAATACCAAAGCAAAACTTCTAAATGATTGTAGCTGAAAAATCGCCATCGTTTCAGTATTGTAGGCGTGATGCACTTTTCGCCCTTTTTACCAACGTAAATATCTTTAAATCAATCAACAGAGTATCACAAGATCAATAGTTCGCCCCCAGCGCCGGAATGGTTCACTACCCCTATGTAATCAGTACATAATCAAGAAGTAAGTGTTATTCTATTGGTATTTTTTGAATGCTCTATTGTTAAAAAAATGTTCCAATTTAGTTTCTTTTTGCTTCTTCATTTACGGAGTATAGAAGATGTTTTATAATATTTTACCTCCCTGAGTAAAAAAGTAATAGTTTTTGTGTATGCTATTGTGTTTGTCTATGTGTTAGTTTGTGAACAGAAGAGTAAAGAGCTTATGTAGCTTTAAAGTAATATTGAGGAGTTTTCGTATATTTGTAGTTGTCTCCTTTCAAACAATTTCCGATCACCGAAAAGGGTACGTACTCTTCCGGTTGATAAAAAACCAATAATGTAAGTATCGTTTAATTCAGATGAAAGAAAATTCACATTTAAGAATAAGATTTATTGATTGAGCTTCTATTAACTGTTGAACGCTTTCCTGTAACATGAAGTTGCCTTTTACTTTATTTCAGTGGGAACAAGATAACTTGAGTACTGTTTCATTAAGATAGACGAAATTTTATACATAAGTAACATGTCCTAAACTTGAATCACTTTTGATTTACGATTTACCTCTAATATACGAAAGTGTTACTTTACTATAGTTCTGTTTTCAATAACTTGAGTACCGTTTCACCTAGTTAGACGAAATCGCATACATATACATATACTATTCTATCCACTTGTTTCTCTCTAACTGTGAGTGACTGAAAAAAGTATTTGGCGTTATCGCCTATTTATCTAAATCACAAGAAGTTATTTATCTTGATTCTTCTTTCTACCGCGGTTATGAGCGACGACATACGAGCACAATTTTAACCTATTCTACCATACCGATTTATTTAAACTTTTCACGTACGTCAAAACTCAATAATAATGCACGGTGATACGAAATTCTATTTAGAGGTTGAATTAACTATTTAAAAAAAAAACAATCAATGTTTCCTTTATTATGCACTAATTTTTCGCTCTATTATACACACATCGTTTCCATCCATTAGGTGCACACATCTTGTTTTTTTTTTCTACTCGGTTCTATTTTTTAAAATAATATTAAACATTTACTAGATACATTTCTATAGTCCAATTGCGCTGAAAATCACAATCCAAATACTGCTGTAAAATAAAATACGAGAAAGTTTAGAGGAGATCACTCCAACTTTATTTCCTTTATTAAAATTTAGTTTGCTTGACTTCTTGTATACCCGCTCTAATAACTATCTAACTTACAGGGTATTTTTTTAGATAAATATTAAATCAAAAGTAATTATTAAAACAACATCAATGCAGTTCTCGTACTTTAAATCATAATATTTACCATTTTAAATATCGGTTTTACATGCCTTTCAGGATTTATAAAATAAAATAAAGGCTACTCAATTTCAATTTCAATTAAAAATATATTTCAAAAACAATATTTCAACGAATGGTTAATTATAGATATTATCTGCGGTATCTTTGTATTCAAACATCTTCAACACCCGGTTAAACTTTAGGACCGTAGATTTACTACAAGTATTAAATTTAATTATATAGTGTCAACTGCAACCCTAATCTACTTAAAATATCATGAAATTTTTAAAAAGTTGTACCGTTTGAACATGTTTTAAAAACAAGGCAGAATGAACACATTTATTTTTTAGGGAGTTCATAGAAAGATCAAAAGAAAGAAAACAGTACTCGAAGGATATGTATGTCTCCATCGGTCCTCGAATGGTCCAAGTACAGTAGGCTGCAAAACTTTGTGGATAACTTGGGCTGGTTATCGTTCCTGTTGTGCCTGTCACTGTGCTATTACAATCTATAAAATCAATGTTGTATAAACTGCATGTAATTAAGCAAGAGGGGCATCATATTGTTATAATAAGTATCATTGTATCTAGTGGACCTATTTAGTCATTAAAAATTTCGATTCCTTTAAAGAAGAACGAAATATTTATACATTTTTAAAAAAAAATCGGTTTTAAAAGCTAAACTAACGAATTTTTGTTAAAATATTTCAAAATTATTATTAAAATGTAGAAATTAAAATAAATTTAAAAGCATGTTAATAATAAGTTTTAAAATCAAATATAATATATAAATATAACAACTGAGAAAACCTAAAATTAGACGGAAAATGCACAGAAAATAACCTCAATTTCGGTGTTTTATTTAAATGAACCACTGGTAGAGAACAATAGTGCACGGTCTCATTTTTGCGGGTCGATTTAACGAGGCTCTCATACCGGGGTTATTTGTCATGGTTAGCTTTGACGCACAATTTACGTTAAAGTAAACAAAGTTCCTCTTCGGACCTTTGGTGGACACAATACCTAGACCTTTTTGGGCCTTTGCAGAAGATGAAATAGAGATCCCTTGTTTAAGTATTCTGGGCATATGAGTGATGGTGTGGTCAATAATATAACCAGTCGGATTTACCGACGTTATGTAGGTACCCACCAACTTAATATCTACGAAAAATAGTAAACACTAGCCTTGAACTGGCACAAGCAAACATGAAAAGCAAACTAAAACCTACACTAAACATAACCAGAAACATAAACACAAATTTAAACGCAATAATTAAAACATACAAAAATACAACCATAAAAGGCAACATAATTTTCAACGCAAACATCACAGAAAAAAATAATGCAAGCGGGAATATCAACGGAAACATAAAAGCAAATACTAACGCGAACGCAAATATAACGTAAAAATAAGCGTAAACACAATAAGGACATTTGGCAACGACTTCTTAATTATTATTGATGAAAATAATAATTTGTAATATAAACAATAATTTTAATGTAATATATCTTTGTTTTGTCTACTACACTGTCTACTACACCGCACTTTATCAATGCATGATACATCTTAAACTCATTTCATCACACAAAGCACACACTGCATTAATTTGTGCCGTTTTTTTTTATTTTTCATGAGTTTTTTAGTTTTTACCTCATCAAGTTAAATAACTTAGATAAGATTTTACTTTTTTGTGAAATGTAATTTTGTTCTTTGCATCTTAAAAACTTAAGTTGCAATTTGAACATTTATTTTTGAATAGATAAGTATTAAAATATTAATTTTTGTTTAAATACAAAAATTGAAACCATAAGAATATTGCACAATGATGATTAAGTTGAGTTCTTATTATATGCTTGTTTATCACAAACATATATTTCGCAGATAGCCCACTTCAACTATATAGAAAACATAACATTAACTGATTACATTCAGAAATTTTAAACTCTATTAACACCAAAAGTACCCATTAGTCATTGTTGTAAATTTAATTGAAATATCAGAAAAAAAGGCTTAAAACCAAAGAGTTATTGCTAAATTGTAATTATCCTAATTATGATATCAAAATTATGTTGAACGATTTAACAATAAAATGTATAAATAATGACTTGAACTCACCGGGAACACACGCAACAGCGCAAGTGCTGAACGTTGTCCCATCATCACATATACATTTTGAATCCGTGCAATTTCCCGTGACACACTGGCTGCTATTACTGCAGTATTGCTTGTAGCCAGTTAAACCAGGTGGTTGTGTGTTACAAAAGGCAGATTCACCGTCAGCTTTGATCTAATGTAAAATAGTTTTAGCTAAAATTTCCTATTTGTGATTCGGAAATATACATATAAACAATATAAAAGTTTGTATTTTTTAGTGACTCACATGATAGGAAAAAATTAAGCGATTAATTAAAGTTATGAACGTCTTAAAATGTACCCCAACATTCAGTGCACTGGGGTAGCTTTTGTGATTTCGGCATATGAAAAGATAGAGTGGTCAACAGTATACTCAGATGCTTTTTACTTCCCTAACGTAAATCAGATAGGCCTACTCACAGAGCTAGGTGGAAACATGGACGTTATAGGGACTCGAGCCCGGTGTCTGAAATGTTTTGGGAGGACTTCAAAGTGACCAGTCCGATATAAACTCTACTGTTTGTTGAAAAATGATAACTATGTTCAACATAATTATTTGGGTATTTTGGTTCTTTACAACTGGCTAATTCTTTACATAGGCCTGAGTGAAAGACCTGGTCATATGAAAACACTATCGAGCAAACTTAACTTGCACGAAGAGGGCTAAAAACTGACCACGTGTGATAATAGCCTTATATGAGCTAAATATCAAAACAGATGTTCCATGTCAAATCACCTTGATAACTCCATAGACTGTAAAACTTTTTGCGGGGGTCACAAAAATGGTGTTACATGTGGAAAACTTCTAAAGACAGTTATAACTTACTAAATGCCATATTAATTTAAATAATCATTGCAGTAATCATAGCAATATAATTGAAAACTAATTTTAAAAATGTCCCTGATAATTTCTTGTTCGTAGAATGGTTGTATCATTAAATTGGACGAAAGAAAAAGTCGGACGTCTTTTGAAATGTTAGCATTAAATTAGCGATAATGCTAAATATAGTATCGGTTGAATTCGAATACAAATTTGGTAAAAACTATGATTTAAGTAAATGATTTTTCGATAACCTAAGCAAAACTGGGCTGTATAATCTGGTAATATAAAAAAACTACTACCAATATACAATGACACCATTCCTTTTTTAATGATATATGGTTTACTATTTTTTTATCAACGTTAAGTTTAAAGTTAAAAATAAGTACTGGTCTTTTCTTACTAAAAACTATTATAAATCTTTAAAAAAAGAAGAATAGCTTCCCTGCTTAAATAAGCATATCATATGCAAGTGACAATGAATCTTGAATATGGTATGTTCCTTACGTACTTACATTTTAATTTTTTGTCATCTTGGGTACTGGAACTTAAGCCATTTAAGATGCACCGTGTGTATATAAGCTCTATATAAATGAACTCACACTATATAAACTATAACGTGAATAAAGTGTTATATTTACACATTTTTTACCTCATATTCCGACTTAGAACCTTGATGAAAATTTTTGTTTCCCTTAAATGGTATTTGCAATATATTACTTAGAAATGTGTTTGTTTCGGTCATGTTTCTTTTAGGTCCAAGAAGTTTACACTTTCAAGTGGGAGTACCACGTTTAAGTTTTCACAATTTAATTATCTCAATTTTACACGACGAAAATTGTAAACAGAGTACCGTACTGTCTGGCAAGCCAGTCTAAATATGTAAATAGGGTGGTTTAATAAGTACTATTGTTCCCCATGTTTGTTTTGTTCTAACGTTTTTGCATTAATATTAATAGTTATAAATACATTCATTTATTTAATAGTGTCATTCTTTAGTACGAGATAAATGGCCCGTTGAGGAAGGATATATGGGCGCTAGGTTGATAGTGTAGTCTCTTTTCTCTAAACCAAAAACAAAATCACCACCTTAACAGCAAACTGAACAGAAAAAAAAACGACATTGAAAACGGATTTTTATCCATAATAGGAATTTTTATCGAATTTAAGCTTGGTTTACACATAGTTACTGCACATTTATACTAAATATAATCGTTGCCATACCCCTAAACCTTGCACCTTAGCTCAAACATGACAAAAGTCGCAATTAGAGTTTCTTTCATGCCACTCTACGTGGGGGTGGGGAGGGAGAAGAGGTGGCTTCGCCACTCACCCGGACGAACGTATACCGTTCCATTCAACGAAATAGACTGTATATAGAAAATGTGTTTTTACCAGTGTCCGAATCCTTCTCTGGAAATGTAAACCCCACCCTCCAAAACTTTCAAGTACCGCCCCTTCCCCTCTGGGTAGAAAAATGAAAGAAACACTGGTCGCATTTGTAGATCATACAGATTATAGGAAGAGAGTGCCTCTATAATATAGATCAATTTCCTACTTTTAGTCTCACGGTGTTTCTTTCAGACGACTTCCTGGAGTGGTGCAAATACAATTCTCTGGGGCGGGGGAAGCCGGCACTAGTATAAGAATATATTTCTATTTAAGTTATGTTTGTGTTTTTTTGGGAGGGGGGGGGGTATGCGATCTACGAGGGGGGAGGGGGATGGTCTCCGCCTCTACCCGAAGAGATTTATGAAAATAACTGTGTACGCACACCTTTTAAGATTAGACGAAATTTGATTTTTATTTCAATGTTTACTCGAAAATCAATGACGTCATATTTTTGTGTGTACTTTCGCGGCTTTAGAAAATTTCCTAGTATATGTTCCATGTGACGTCGCGTTTCGTTTTTCGTGCATGTTTTTACTCTGGCTCTGGTTGTGTTTTCTTCATAGTAAAAGCGTTCCCAAATGATAGATAGATACACAGACAGTGAAACTATATATAACGAGATAAATTGCCCGTTGAGTGAGAGATACAACGGGCACTAGGTTGATAGTGATGTATTTTTCTCTTAACCAAAAGGTAGAGCCTAGGCATACGTCTATGATATATACTTGTTTTCTACGTTTGGCCGATACATTTTACTCAAGCAGGTAGTGTTCGTTTCAGGCTTTTTTTCCGGGGGTAGGGCACTTGAAATTTTACAGGGCAAATAAATTTCTCGTGGTCGGGGTAGGCCAACACTGGTAAAAGTATATCTTTCCTATAGAAATTATTTTTGTTTAAAAGATAGGGGGGGGGGGTTCGGCTTTGTCCCTAAGCGAAGAGATGCATGAAAGAAACTCCAGGCAAACCACATTTAAGATTAGACACATTAATTAGGCCGTAATGTCAGTATGTTTATTACAGAGTATTGATAACGTCATTTTTGTTGATGGGGGGGGGGGGGTAGCTTAGACGTTATTATGGGAGTTGGAGGGTCTATCTTCGCCCCTACCCGAAGAATAGCATGAAAGAAACTCTTCACTCAAACAACTTTTAAGATTAGACACATTTATTAGGCCCTTCGCCCCTACAAACTCTGCAAGCAAACCACTTTTAAGATTAGACAAAAATTGGCCTTTTAATTCATTGTTTACTCGAGTATCAATGACGTCATATTACTCGGCGTGATCGAGTCGGTAAAGCTCATGGTTGCTAAACCGAAAAGTCTCGAGTTCGAACCCTCGGGCAGATGAGGCTCGTTAGCTGGGGACAGCCACTCTTTTAGGAGAGACAACTCCAAAATCAAACAACTACTGCCTTGTTGTTTGTTCTTGGTTGGACAAAGGCTATGGAAGCAAATCCATGGTCGAGTCGGCAAATCTCATGGTTGATAAATTCGAAAAAAATAAGTCTCGAGTTCAAACCCTTTGGCAGATAGGGCTCGATCCCTCACTAAAAATTAAGAACGAAGAAGAAGAAGAAGATATATATATATATATATATGTATATATATATATATATATACTTTTACCAGTGTCGGCCTCCATTGCCACGGAGAATTTTATAGATTCAAGTGCCCTACCCCTGGAAAAAAACGTCTAAAAGAAACACTTTCTGCGTGAGTGAGTTTTATCGGCCAAAAGTAGTAAACGTGTCTGTTTTATAGAAGTAGTTTCTACCTTTAGTCTGTATGATCTTCAAATGCGACTGGTGTTTCTTTGAGATATTTTCATTTCCGGAGACTGTACTTGAAATTGTCGGAGGGGGGTGGTTAAAATTTTCTGGGTAGGGGTCAGCCACTGATATAAGTATACACTTTCTTTATATTATATTCTCTGTCGTCCTAGACTTTCTTTGGGCTCAGCCCACCCCTACCTAACCCCCTCACTATCTCGAAAAGTTACCTGAAAGAAACTCTAAAGTTTGTCAGGTTTGAGCTTAGGTTCAGGTTTAGGTGTTTAGGATTCTTGATAAAAATGGAATTATTCGTTTCCGGTTAATATGGAAGTTAAGGTGGTGATTTTGGTTTTGGTTTTTGTTTAGAGAAAAAACAACACTATCAACCTAGCGCCCGTTGTATCTCTCCCTCAATGGGCCATGTATCTAGTTATTATTATTTTAATAATATTTGAGAGAAGAAAATGCTTTTTAATAAAGTTTTCTTTTCAAACCCGACGGTTTGTGACCTCGGCATATGAAAAGATACTGTGGTCAGCACTATGCCCAGCCGCTTTACTTTCCCTAACGTGAGTTAGGTACCTATCAGAGTTGGGTAGACTCAGGAACGGTCTACTGACTTGAACCCGGATTCGAACTCGAGACTTGCGGGTTAGCAGTCCAGCTCTCTACCGCTAGACCACTCCGTCCCGCTTTTTAATTACCTCAGTGCAAAACTATTAAAGTGAGCACTTTGGGCATCTCTAAATTAGATATTTCAAAGTTGTGAGATAAGTTATGTAAGTGGTTAGAAGGTTGTCAATCTTTCACACTATTTACTACCAAACAATCACTGCTGTTATAGATCTGGGTTTCTTTTACAAAGCCACTACTCTATGGATGTGCAAAAAATTTATTGTGTTTTTATTGGTCAGGTTTTTGGACTCCCTAAGCGGCCTGGGCCTCCTCGCATTGCGGGGAGTCAGGCTTTATAGTAGTTCCGCCCCTGAATATGACAACCGATGACTATAATTTATTTTAATATAAGATGATAAATGTATGGTACTTGCAGCTTTCTGTTGCGAACTTATAAGTCCAGGGCAACTAAAGA